AGTTTGTGTGTCTTTTTATTTATTTATTTATTTTTATTTGAAATTTATTTTTTAATATTAAATTTTTTCTGCTGCTAGCTAAACAAGCTAGCTAGCAATTGTTGGGGAAAATGACTGAAACATGTAAAAAGAGAAATATATTATCAGCAAAATTACTAGTTAATTAATTTGTATTGTTGCTTTACCTATTTCTATTAGAAGAGGAACAGCTGTTTTAAAAATTACTTTGAATTACAACCTTTTGTTTGACAGGTTGTCTAATCATGGAAATTCCAATTCCAGGAAAAAAAATTCACAATACAAGAGAATAAAAAGAACATGGCAGTACAAGTTAACTTTGCAAAACTGCATCTGAACACACCACAAAACTTCTCAAACATTTTCTTTGGACAGAACAGACACCTCATGCCAGTTCATTAAGTCAATCATGAACTTTTCTGTATAACAAACTCAAATGTGAAGCCATCTGACAGCTAAAGCTAGGTCATGCAACTCTAGGACAGTGATCAGAAGCACAGCCGCAAATCTACAACAGAATGGCTGAAAAACAAATCATCCCAAAAGCCCTGTCAACGTCCAGACCTCAGTGATGATGTGAGGGACTGTTAAAGTCATAAAGAAAAAGTTTACTTTGATGTATTGCTGCTAAAGGTGGTTCTGCGAGTTACTGAATCATGGTGTGAACCTAGTTTTTCACAGGACTGTAAACATAATTGGTAACCAGAATCATAATGATGCATTATCCAACCTTTTTTTTAGAAAGTGAATTGCTGTTTTAAATGACTTTACAACCATCACTTTTAAAAACCCTTCTTAACGGGTGCAATAACAATGGGAACAGAAGTAGACACCCAGTACCAGGAAAAAAAGCCAAAATCCAAGAGAACCTATGGTAGCTCCACATACCTCACAATCATGGCATAACAAAACAGACATGCTCTTCACTGCTTCAAGATAAAAACTTGAATCCGATTATCTCTGGATATCACTCGCTGAACTAGAATATCACTCCTGCAGATGACAGCGTATAAAAGTTTTCACTCATGGTCCTAAAGATACTTTACAATTTAGGTTTGTGCCAAAGATTTGTTTTGTTATTCCCTGATTTATCATTCAGTCTGTGTGTGTGTTAGTGAGAAAGACTTTTCAGCAGTCACTCTTTTAAATTGATTTTTATGGCAGACACATGCTACACTGGGGTCACTAAGAACATACTGTGGACTGCACGTATAATGTTTACAAGTCCAGCTCTATGCAAAACTCTGTGTGGTCAAGCTCATTTTTTTCTGTACATGTTACACGGGCTTACTTTTTCCCAGAGCCTCAAGAAGAGCTGAGAAAGGCTTGGCAGAAGAGCTCGGCTCACAGTAGTCTGTCACATTTTCCTGCTGAGGGTTTGTAAGAGCTGTGAGGAGGTAGGAGTTTCTCACATTTCCACAGAGGGTGAAATTCCATTACTGATTGAAACAGTGCACTGCAGCGTGGAAGCTGACCAACACTTATGGACAATAGACAGGCTACTGTCGTGGTTTTAGGCAAGGATTCAAGCGACACCTTGTAGAGCACTCAAACTC